ACACACATTATCTAAATTTTCTTGCAAGAATATTAAAAGAAGTACTTTTCAGAAGCTACCTAACATAATTCATTTTTTAAGCGGTGTAATCGCAGCAACGCGTTGCAATGACCCCACTTTGAACGGATCGTGCTAAAATTAACAATTATTGCAAACAATACCAAACTCTGGATTTTCGTATAGTATAGAAGAAAACTTGCGTTTGAACGTTTGTGATGTACGAAACAAAGATTCATAAGAGGAAGCTGTTATCCTACTGTCATCAAATTTATGAATTGTTTATTTTTAAGTTTAGGGTAACGTAGGTCATGTTATATTAATTTTTTGTTACAAATTAAATTTACTTTTAAAATATGTATATAAAATATATATATATATATATATATATACGAGGGTGGTTCAAATATAAACCGGAATTTTGCTATAAAATTTTTTATTATTAAGTTACAGAGCTGAAATTTTTTACAATTTTTCTAGATTGTCTCCGTCACACTCTACACACTTTTGCCACCTCTCCGGAAGCTTTCGGATGCCTTGTTCGTAAAAATTTCTCGGCTTGTCACGTAACCATTCGCGCACGAAGTATTCTACCTCCACATTGCTTTCGAATCGCAGTCCGCCAAGTGCCTCTTTCAATGGACCGAACAAATACTAGTCGCATGGCGACAAATCGGGACTATAAGAAGGGTGTTCCAGTGTTTCCCAACCCAATTCGTTTAATGTTTTCATCAAACTTCCTAGCGTGTGAATTTCTGATAAAAATTCAGAAGTCTTGGCACCCATCTGGCTGAAATTTTGCGGTAACCGAGCCGTTTATGAATTATTTGCTCAATACTACCTACGCTGATGCCCAATTCTTCAGGCATATTGCGTACAGTACTGCGCCGGTCTTCCAAAATGAGTTTTTCTACAGCGCTGACGTTCTCATCTGTAACACTTGTTTGGGGCGCCGCGCATATGGCAAGTTTGCCACCACTTCTCGGCCTTTTCGCAAAGCGGAACACAATTCATACACTTGAGTCTTGGAGAGGCACTCATCCCCGAACTGCTCGAGTAATTTTTGATAAATTTCCGCGGATTTTACATTATCTTTGACCAAAATACGAATAATGATGCGTTGCGCAACAGACACTGGTACATCCTTCTCGCTCATGGCTATAACTACACTGAAAAGCCAGGTTACGCAGTTCCGGCTGTTCTCTACGCTTCGTAACAGACCAGCCTAACATCCAGTGCAGCCACTTTTACTTTTACTAAATTTTTAGCGCGTTTATTAAAAAATTCCGGTTTATATTTGAACCACCCTCGTATATATATATATTTAAAAAAATGTTTTTTGTGTGAATATTTCGGAAACTCGTTAAATTGTTTTTTCTGTTTTTCGGAGTACAATTTTACATAAGAATTGGCTATTAAATTTTGGGATACCATGGTATTCGATGGTTAACCATGGCACAAGTGAAAAAGCAGCCACTATTAACTATTAAATTAGTTATTTTTGACTAATTTCTTTTTTAGAGAGTTCGATATACCTTGGCAATTACAGCCGAAATATGTTTGTTACACTGTTTAAAATATCTGTGGTGTAAAGAGTAATCCTAAAATGGTGTCAAAATCCAACACCAAGTGGTGTTAATATAACACCATGAATTATGGTTGAAAATGAACACCAAAACGATCTAAAAATATTTGAGAAGTGCACCTACACAGAAAAAAAGGAATAGTTCAATTAACTATATTAATTTAGTTGTCCCATAAGTATTTATTTTTTTGTGGATCACGTGATGTTCTTAAATCTCGCCTCTGTTGACTTACATGAAGAATATATAAGCTCAGGTTGTCCTTTGCTTTGGTGTGACACTACAAGTTGTTCGATACTAGACCTTAAATAGGTGGAAACAGCTGTCAATACTTGAAGTATTTTAAGTTAGTGGAACGAACTAAAAACATTATCTCTAGCGAGTTGAAGGTTCCATTTTCTGGAATAATACCACTGGTAATATACTAGTAATGCGTCAAGGAACTTCCTGTTTCCTTTTTATTCCTTTTTTCTGTGTAGTATGATTTAATTTGACCACAAACACATAATATTTAACACTGAAAAGGAGTTCAATTTACACCAGGCAAAATTTATTTTAATACTGTGTGAAAGTTAAATTTACACCATTTTAGAATTTGAATTTACACCATTTTAGTATTTGAATTTACACCGGACCAACGAACCCTATTTAACACCATTTTGGTTTGTATCGATTAGACCATATATGGTGTTAATTTGGTGTTAAAATGGTCATAAAATTTTGAACAGTGTATTATTAAAACCGTTCACATACAATAGGTTAGATTCTCACAAAAATAGGTTAGATTAGTACGAAATAACCTTGAAATAAAGTAATTTAATGTAAAAGTTGGCCAAGTATTAAATTACGTCTTAAATTACATCAACTGTATAAACGTTACAAAGGATTCTTGGGTTTAAACTTTTAAAGTTAAATTAAGTTAGGTTTCTTAAGATTCCGTGACAGAATTTCTGTCACATCATTTTTAGGTTAGGTTTGAACCGTTCAACTGACATGATAAGTCATCATCATTGATGACATTTTAGCTTTATTTTCGTACGGAGAATAATAATTTGACAAATACTTTTTTATAAAACGCTCGAAAAAAACTTTTACCTATATGGACATTTTTTTTGAAGTAATAAAATAAAATAATAAAAAATATGCTGTGAAAGACCGTATTTTTGTTAGTATACCCTAAAAATGTACAAATCAAACGAACAGTAATGAAAATAAAGTCCTTCAAAGTCGTCAAAAATGACCACTTTTCAGCAAAATAATCAAAAAGGGGTTATTTTTACCGATTTTCGTTAGTGCTGTTTGTTTTATGGTTGGATTTTTTTTACTTGTTATGCGTTAATTTTGACGCGCAGTGTAGTATATTATGTATCAAGTTTGATAAACGCCATCTTAGACACAAATTTAATTTAGCCACGAGCGAGCTTGCTAGCCAGTGTTTAATTAAATGAGTGTCTAGAAAAGTTTATTAACGATTTGCATACTATACTTTTCCTAAGACAAATACTTATTATTATTATCTAAAAATAATTTAAATTAAATATTTGTATAGAACAACATCTATAAAACAATAGAGGGAACTTGGGAATCTGTATTACCGGCGCGCCGCAAATCGAAATGTATTCCTTGAAAATGGACCGTTTAATCCGATATAGAAGCAGTTTTTCGCAGTGAAAGTAAAGAAAATGTTTTATGGGCACTTCACCCGAAATTAAGTTAAATCTAGTTTGCTGCCGGCGAAATTAAAAGGTCAGTACAATGTTCAAATAAACTTTTAAAATACCTATAGCCGTTAGGAAACTATTTAATACTTTTGTATTTTTGTATTGAGATAATAAAATAATGTTTACATTTAGTATTATTTTACAAGAAGGGTCCTTTATTTTAGCGATTGTATGACATTTGACAAATGTGAACTAACATAAAACTAACTTCAGCCCGTGACTAAAAAACTGTTGCTAACTTCAGCCCGTGAATAAAAGGCTATAAAGCCACCACAACTTGTCAATATTTAAAAGGTCACTACGATAAAGTTTTAAAGATGTTTTTGAACTTTGTGATACTGTTTTTTTTAGTGTCTATCTCGGAGGCTTGTTAATTAACTCGCTGCAATATAAATCACAATGCAATTATTTTATTCAATTTTCTCTGCATTGTGATTTATATTGCAGCGAGTTTATTAACAAGCTTCCGAGATAGACATCCTAATCGTCTGACGTGTCAGTTTAATTTAATAATTAAATTCGAAGTTTATATTTTAATAATTAAATTAAATTGACGACACGTCAGACGATGACGATACTGTTTTTTTTAAGTGTCTATATGGAAGCTCCATAACAAGTCGTTATAATCTGTGGAAGGTTGCGAGCATGATTTCTTATTAGTTTTACATTTTGATGTATAATAAACTTGCTGCAATAGAACTTTTAAGTTAAATAATTAAAATAAATTGACGATACAAACGATAATTATCGTCATTGTTGGTGGAGATATTTTAGATGCGGTAAACATCCTTTAACTTTAACAAAGTCAAAAGATTGAATACATACAAAATTATAAAATCAACTTTGGTGAACATAAAATTTACCTATATCATAAATTAAAATATTTTAAAAGAATTCCTCTATTATATAATCCAGGGCTGCAGACCTGGGAATCCGCATTATTTATTTAAATCGATTAAATTGTGCGCAGTAAATGGCCTTTTTAACATATATACTAACTAAAACAAGTTATGGGGAAATATTGACCATTTCCCCTACAATGTTATTTGAAATAACTTATTTCTTTTTACACCTACATATATCCGAATGCAATGTTGACATTTGAAATGTACAAATTACGAATATTTTTTAAGACCTATAGTAAAATAAATTATATAAAAAAATAGTATAGGATCAATGTACAGACTGATAATAAATTATTTATAGGTAGAAATATTTACTTTAAAATATATGTATATACATTGTTATCCATTTAATTTAATTTTTGTAAATAACCTAAGGTATAATCTTTTATCTAGGAATTATTTATTTACTTATCGAGGCAATTTCAGGTACCTACCTACAATAAACCACATAAGTATATATCTATATTATTACATTTTCACGTTTTCACTGGGACGATACTAATTTTCTTATTTTCTATAGAACCCACTGTATTTTTTTTAATTTAAAAATCAAAAACCCTGTATAAATAAAAATGTATTATTTAAAAACAATTTTTTGCTTTGTAACTTAAATAAATTAGTGGACTCTGTCTACCATGTAGACCAGGGTGGTCCACATTTGGTGGAGTTCATATGGGATTTAACAGATGTTGTCCTCAACCTCAACTATGAAAACACATTTTGCCTCCCAAAATGTTGTTTCGGGTACTCAAATGTATTCAAATTAAAGCAGGATTTCTGGTAAGTTGACTTACTTTGTGCGCCTTTAAAGAGAGATCGTTACATGCCAGCGTAACGTCGACAAAGGCTTCATTTTCTAACAGCTGGTGAAAAACCGAGGTCATATTGCTTTGATAATTGTTCCATCGTAAGCAGTAATGCTGGCCAGACATTCTTTCTGGAAAAAATCGACGGCATTCATATAATATCAAATTTTACGGGCGGAAAATGTTTGTGCTTGCTCTTCTTACGGATGTTCTGTAATAAAGAAAAATAATTTTAAATGTTTTTAATAGGAATAACTTGGGAAATCTTAAAAATGTGTTTTGCTTAAACTATTACGTTTAAAAAAGTTTTTATCGATCATAATTTTTTGAGATGTTAAGCAATAATAAAAAAACTAGTTTTAAAGTTCTAAATATTTCTCCTTTTTATAGTTTTATTATTTTTTTAATAAAATATAAGAGGTAAATTAGCCAAATTATATTTCGACGTGTTTAGAAAAACAAAACAACTAATACTAATGTATACCTACTTATAACTTCTTATAAGACTTATATGACTTATCTTTTTATTATTTAATAATTTACAGGGGCTTCAGAACAAAAAATCATTCCAAAAATTTAAATTTTTTAATTAAATGTTTTTATTAAATAAATTATTTTTTTTAAATTATTGATGCAACGATTTTTTTTAAGTTTAGGGTAGTTATGCAATTATATTTTTTTGTTCCAAATTAAATTTTCTTTCAAATTTCCAAAGTGTACCATTAAAAAAAATTATTTAATTATTATTTTTGCGAATATTTGGAAAACCCGACGTTTAATTGTTTTTAAATATTTCTCCTTTTTATAGTTTTAATATTTTTTTAATATAATCTAAAATATAAGAGGTAAATTAGCCAAATTATATTTCGACGTGTTTAGAAAAACAAAACAACTAATACTAATGTATACCTACTTATAACTTCTTATGACTTATCTTATTGTTTTGAAATTTATTATTTAATAATTTACAGGGGCTTCAGAACAAAAAATCATTCCAAAAATTTAATTTTTTTAATTAAATGTTTTTATTAAATAAATTATTTTTTTTAAATTATTGATGCAACGATTTTTTTTAAGCTTAGGGTAGTTATGCAATTATATTTTTTTGTTCCAAATTAAATTTTCTTTCAAATTTCCAAAGTGTACCATTAAAAAAAATTATTTAATTATTATTTTTGCAAATATTTGGAAAACCCGACGTTTAATTGTTTTTATGTTTCCACCATTTAAATAAGAAGAAAAAAGACACCAATTTGCTAATTTAACCGACTTTGTAGCTCCAATAATAACCAAGTTAGAATTGTAGCAATGGTAGTCATTGGGCGTAATGCGTCATTCCGCGGAAAGCCTAGTCATTCAGAGAAGAATATCGATCGATAATGGCAAGAAGACTTTATTAAGGAGATACATATTTTTTACATTTGATTAAAGTTTAGTTTAATATAAAAAAAAACTCTTGGGCAATTTTATTATCTGGACCTCAGAGCACTTTTTTAAATTTTCAGATCATATTGTATTCTATTGTATTTTTTAAAATTTTTAGAATACACTAAACCTCAAAATTAAAAAAAAGTGATAGTTCACTTTCTTAAATTTTGGGATTATAATGTATTCTAATATATTTGTTTCAATTTTTTAAATATATTCCACTTTTTTAATTTTTAAATTTAAAAATTTAAAAATTGGACTTAATACTCTTTGGCTCCTAAGTTTAGTATAAAAAGAGGTACATGTAAGTATATGCTTATATATAAATATATATTTATAAATATAAAAAATCATAAGTATAAAAATAAAGGTATATATCTCCCTCCTTAGTTTTCCCATCGATCGATATTCTTCTGTGATTGGTGGATGCATGGTATAATTAAGTATTATTTATTTATTACAGCCTTTGTCGGCTTTATGACCAGGCCCGTTCCTGGGGCGTCTGGCGCCTGCGTGCAGCATTCGTTGGTGCGCCCCTTTTATATTTAAATATAATACATTGAAAATTTGAATTTAAAGCCGTAAAATTTAAAAAATATATATTTTGCGACAAACTGGCAAAATGTAATTGAAAATGTAAAAAAACCGCTTAAATTAAGTATAAAAAATATTTATTAAATTACCAAACAAACAAGTAATATCATAAGGGCATCTATTTTTTCAAAAAAAATCGAAAAAACACGTTGCTAAGTAATATTTTAACAAGAAGCATGAGTGCTGGTGGCAACAAAAATCCGAGTCGAAGACGAGGATTTTTGCACCTGCACGAATGCATTTTGTTAAAAAATATTACTTAGCATTGAGTTTTAACGATTTTTTTCATAGGAAAAGTTAGATGCCCGAATGGTATTTGACAAGACTATTTTATGAGTAACAGTTATTAAAATATAAATTGCAATTTTTGGTGACAACAGCCGTCAAGTTTTGCCGCGGGTAAACTCGACTATTCCACTCATTACTTTTTGGACCAATCAGATTTCAGAAAACGAGTGGTTTTTTCAGTTTTGCAGCGATAAAACTACTATTCAGGTGACAATACAATTCATTAATATTAGAACCAATAAAATGCCAGTATTCCATAGTGACGTATTTTATCACAGCGGCAATAATTTTTATCATCTTGTTTACACGTTACTATGAATTTTGACGTTTTTTTGATTTGACATTTGTTGTCATTTAAATTCTGTTTTTGATATATATCAATAAAATAATGAATTATAAACTCTAAAAGATCGATGGGTTGGTGTAAACGATAATGAAATTAATGTAAGTTTGAATAAATAAGGTTTATTAAAGTCTTTTTATATTTTAAAGCACATTTTAATTTCAAATGTCAAACTAAAAATTCGTTAAATCCTAAAATTCATTATATTTTCTCACTAAATATAACTCGTGGTATGATTAATTATCGATGATATTTACTCATTGAAACCGAAGCAGCACATTTCACTCGTCCTGCGGACTCGTGAAATCTGCAGCTCGGTTTCAATTCGAAAATATCATCGATGATAATCATACCACTTGTTATATCATGGGTGAAAAAACCACTCGTTTATACGAGTTGCATAACAACCAATTGGTTGCTATGATAAAAATAATTGTCACTGTTGACGTTTTTAATTTTAAAATTAAAATGTTAAAAAATATGCGTTTTGGTCCAAAAAATCATACAGAAATTGAATCAGCAGTTAAAAATATTCGTGAAATAGTCTTGCCGAATACCACTCGTGATAAAATTTTCCCTGAAAAAATTTTTGATTTTTAATTACTCAAGATTTTTCCTTGGAAATTTCGCTCGTGGCATTAACTTCAAACCACTCGCCTAGCGGCTCGTGGTCTTAAAAATTAATGCCACTTGCGAAATTTCCAAGAAACAAACATTCGTATAAAAATCAAAAATTTTATCGGTAAAATTTTACCACTATAGTGGTATTATATACGAAAAAACTGCTGACAGGTGCTGTCATACAGTTTTTCCACCTAGAAACCATTTGTAGTTCAAAATTACGCGTTTGTGATTGGTGGAAATTAAGACGAGGGAAATAGTCAGTGATAAAAATACTCTAAAGAAAGAAAAAACAATCTAAACAATATAATAACTACAACTGGTTTTTAGTGACGTACTCTCTAAAAATGACTAGTTTTCAAAGTAAAAAAGCAGTCACTAATAACTTTAGTCCACAGCTACTTGTATCCCGGGCATTTAACAGCTTATTATTATGTAAAATTGTCCCCTGCATTCGAAAATACCGTCAAAAATTATAAAAGTAAAGCAGTTTTTAAGATATAGGGTCATTCCACGTTACTCGGGGATTTTTGTCCCACCCGTCACAATTAAAAATTGTGAGTAAAAACTACAAGTTATAAAATTTATTTAAAAATATTGTTTTATTATGCTTTTAATAAGTTATAAGCACAATAAAAATAATATTATAAAATATTAATTTTATAACTTGTGGTTTTTACTCACAATTTTTAATTGTGACGGGCGGGACAAAAATTACCGAGTAACGTGGAATGCCCCTATAGTCAATACCATATTATATGGAAAATTTACTAAATCTCAAAAATGTTCTACTTTTATAACTTTTGACGACATTTTCGGATTCAGCGGACAATTTTACATAGGAGTTGACTGCTAAATATCCGGCATACAAATTACTATTGGCAATAATTATTAGTCGCTGCTTTTTCGCTATTGCAATTAGACTAATTGAATTAGTCATTTTTGAATAATTTCATATTAGAGAGTTACTACTGTTAAACTTTGCTACACGGAAAAAAATCCCTTACTAGGTTTAAGAATAGTTCTATACTTCATGTTAGGAACTTGATTTAAGTATATTTATTATTTCTATGAGATTAGCGTACATTTAAACTAAGTAATGGGATATACTTAATTTTTAAGAAAAACTGTTACTTGATTTGAGATGAGTATTCTTGGATTGAGTTTAAAGGTATTTTATTTTAAAGAAAATTGGTATACTTAAATCAAATATACAATAATGCTTAGATGAAAGAGCTCTAGTTTTTTACTCAAAGCGGAATATTGCCACTTATTTTAAGTATTCTGTATATTTGTATGAAATTTCGGTATACTTTATTTAAATATATGTATATTTAATACAAGAACGCTTATACTTCAATTTAAGTATAAGACCTCTATAGAACAAAGAATACATTATACTGTATTTAAGTATAGCTATTATTAAAACAAATACCTAATTCTTCGCTTAAGTAAATTCCGTCCACCCTCTAAGACCGCTTCGCTAAAAGAAAAGACGCAGTTTCTGTGTTCAGTTCTGTCCTGTGTTCTATTGTGGTAGCGTGTGTTCGTTTTTTCCTTTTTCGGTCTGGATGTTATTTTTAATAAAAAATAATGGAGAATAAACTTAAAAATTGGGGCAGAATGTTTACTAGACACATTTTAGGGTAAGTAAATAATATTTTATTAATTTAAAGTAATTAACTAGGCATGATCGTAAAAATGTAGTGTAAAATGGATAGGTATACTGTAGTGTAAAATGGATAGCATACGACAGGTAATAGACAATAGCACATAAACAGCAGAAAGGCTATAGCCTCCAATTCGGCTATATTATTTTTGTTTTAGAAAACGAGATAGATCTCGATATTACGGTAAACCTAAGCGAGGAGAATTTAAAGGAATTAATTCCAAAAATAGGATGAGGATCAAGGTTAGAGAAAAAATTGAAGAATTAA